CATACAACATTTTTACTAGTAACACATACTAAATTAAATTTTTTCAGTCTTCTCTCCACCGTTTCGCGTTTTCAAAACCGCATTGATTTTGATGTATTTGATTGAAATTTTCGTACTTACAATAACGTATGCGACAAACTTTAAAGGGTAATAAAATTTTTTTTACTTCGGTTGGAAAGAAAATTTTACTGTATATCTTTAACTAGAAGAATTCTCGCTTAAGAATTGTAATCTGCATTACCTGCGACTGCCAATATACAAATGACATAGACAAACAATGTTTTTGCATAACGTACGCGACATTAGAATACTATCAGAAGCAAATCAAAAAATTCCGTTAACCGAGCACTAACTTCTCCTTTTTCTCATTTTTATAGTTAGTTGTTATTGCAAATTTGATTTTAAGATGTAATTGTAATGTTTCAAATCTCTTAATTTAGTTAATAGGGAAGAGAAAATAGTTCATTTCATTAGAGAAAACTGAGTCGAAGAGACATTCAGCTCTTACTCTTCCATTTTTTAGTTTTAAAATTCCAATAAGCTGAAATACTTCTATAATATAAAAATTGAGTATTTTTCTCTTATTAATTAGTCTTAAAACCCCTTTTCAGTTGTTTTTATTTTTTCAGTCCTGGTTGACATTTTCATGGAAACACCCATATGCTAATTCGAGTTCTTTTATATTGCACTTTTAGTGTTCTGGGGAGATTATGCCGCCGTCAGAATATTAAACATTGGCTTATACAGTTGCGATTGGCGCTTGGTGCCGGACGACAGGAAGAATAAAAAGGACACGCAGCTACTGAACGATCTACATCGTCAAATGAGAAGTGCCGTAAGTGTGCAATTATATCGCGCCATTGACTAAACCGAGCTGTCGGGTTTTACGATTGGCCCCATGGACGCGGTTTGCTAATATTATATTGCGTCAAAGTCTCATTCGGAGACACCAGCAGCCGGATTCCAGCATTCGCTATCGCTAATTTTGATCGCTAAAGGTCTCCAAAAGAATAGCAGGCGCGCTTAACAACATGTAACGTTTAGTTACATGCCCCTCATACTGCCAGATTTGCCTGATTACACTTTGCTTCTGTTACTTTTCAATATTGCGCACTTTTAGGCCCCGCGGCTGTTAATTTAGAGAATTTTAGCGATGGAAATGTAGCATAGCGATTGTCAGAATTCCACTGCAGGATTGTGTTGTGTAGGTCAATACCTAAATATCTTCGTTGGCTCATTTACCAGAACCATTGCGCGCTTTACTTTACAGCGCCTTGGCAGAATCAATAGGTCTCCACGAATATCGGCAAAGACATTTCGGCAATTAAGGGAATTTCGTCTCTTTAGCATGCATTGAATTTCTGTAATCCACCCATTTCGTCTGGTTGTCGCAAGCGAATGAAGAACAAACATTTCTTCAAAATTTAAAAAGTAAAAGTTTCACTACTAAAAATTTAAAAATGTTCTTAAAACCTGCAAAGAAATTTGGAAAAGAAATATCACTGTTTTTGTTTTTGGGAGTAGGGTGGGAGTGTCATTGATAAAATTAGAGCGAGAGAAAGTTTTTCTTACAAAACCTTTCATTATTGAATCATGTGTGATACCGGTGATAAGTGTTGCCAGAGTTATTCTATCGGTTAATGTTAGGCTAAACGCCAAATTCCTACAACTTCCAGCATACTCCTGGTAATGAATTATATTTTTACACGATAAAGTCATAATTTCTGAGAACGTGAATGATATCTGTTTGAGATCCCGCGTTCAGTCATGATCAAATTACACAAGATCTGACAAGATGAAATACCAAATGCCAAATTGTGGACAAATGACGCTTACGACAAAATTTTACTAAATAAAATCCTTCATAAACTAAACTAATTAATAATAAACATCAAAAATTAAATATTTTAAGAATTTAGGGAACTAGTAACATTTTCAGAGACTTTGGAAAAATTCTATCCTCGCGTTTTTGAGAAATTGCATTCCAAACTCGAATCGCGATTTCCCACAACCTGCCGAAATAAACACACGACAATCTTTTACCCAGGCGACGAAATATAGAAACATCTCTACTAACCAGCCGTCTTCACCGGCTTGAAAATCTCGCTTGCGTTATACTTTTTTCATCTCACGAGCGAGATAGATTTTCGTTGACTGGGCATTTCATTTGTAAAATGTCGCCAAAGAAGAAGGTTCGACCATTGCAGGCTAAATTTGTATTTGTCGCCAAAATAAATGGTGTTGCTACTCTGAAGAGTTCTGAGAAATGAAAACAATAACTGTCAAACAACAAAAATGGCTGTTGAAAGCAAGCGAGAGCTCGCAAAACACTCGGTATGTAAGAAAAAGTATGCGGTTACACAACTATATACCGGTACTTAACAAGAATGTCAGATTAATCACAGATAATTTTCATGTTTTATTCAGCACTTTCGGCCGCTGTGGTGTAGTGGTAAGCAGTGCGCGCTTTCACTCATCAGCACCTTGCTTCAAGCCCTGATCAAAGCAACATCCCAAAAAATATAGAAAAAGGTTTTTTCTTAACAACGGTCGTCCCTCGGCAGGCAATGGCAAACCGCCGAGTGTAATTCTGCCATGAAAAACAGCATATCATAAAANAACACTAACACATGTATAAGCGCCAAACTATTATAATTATATATTCAACACTTTTATAATGTTATTCAAATTCGGCAAAAAAATGTGTCACACGGCAACACTCGATTGGTTTGACAAAACTTGCAACAAATATGAAAATTGATAGTGCAGCACGTGCAAGCTGAAATTATTTCTCGCAAGCGATTTGCGTTATTTCAGTTGCAGTTACACCTTGCAATTTTTATTTCCGAAAGTGATTTCTGCAAATCTGCAAAAAGGACTTATTTTTTTATTTTGAGTCATATTTTTGATTTCTGTTTGGAATCCCGCGCTCAGTATAAAAAGAACCTAACGAATCATTGAGAAGTTAGGATTACTAATAAAACTGGTATATTAAGCCTCGACACACTAGTCTGCATCAGACTTAGAAATATCTACTAACCGGTTGTCTTCACTTGCTTGAAAATCTCGCTGAAGACGCCTGGCTACACAACTATATAACGGTATTTAACCGATTACAGACGGTCAGAAAAGACTAGTGTAATTTCGCAAATTGGTCTGGCCAGACGGTCTGAAAAGTCTAGTGTGTTAAGGGTCATTCGATTACTAACAAATTTTGTGCTGTTTTTCAACACTTCCTTCAATTTCTTGCATCTGGCAATGCAATTTTGTTATCAAATCTAGAACAGATGTTTCTTTAACAGCTTTAAACTACAGTACATACAAATGGCAGTGCAAATACATTTTAAAATTATTTTACCACAATAAAGCAACAATTTAATTAATAATAATGCATATACAACAACTGCGCAAGTGTACAAAAACCATTCTGCTTTGCCTCAATGCCAATAAGTCCGGGCAACTATGCCAAATAAGCAACGCCAAGTGCCTTCGAAGATCGTTGGAACCCGTGTTGGACCAAAACAAAAGTGTCTCAGTGGGTAAGTAGTAATAACGCAAAAAACAGTACGAAGTCAGTAACAAAATAAGAACTTTATTTCGATCTCATAATTACGCAGATGCTGCTAAGCATTTCGAATTCCATGGCCACTGGCCGGCTGACGAACAGCATCGTTTTCTCAAAGACATGCGACTGCATACAAATTTTGTAAGTGTCGAAGAGGAAGCCAAATTGCTAGAAGAAATTGAGCCCTACATGAAGAGAAGACCTTATGAGTACGATCATTGGGATGATGTAATGGCAGTGACTTTCAAAATAATTTGATTACTACACTTTGCCCATTCCAACAGGCTATACATGGCTTCCGCGAGACAGAGCGCAAGCATTGGTATCCACACAACCGCCTGGTACTCGAACGCCTACAACAAATAGCCTTTATTGATGAGATCAAACCGCATGTGCATATATTGGACCTGGCGGCAGAGGGCGTTATCAAGCCGCATGTGGATAGCACGAGGGTATGCGAGCGCTCTATGTATGTAAACAATTTTATTATATTTGCAATCATCAATTTCATTTCAGTACTGCGGCAATACAATAGCAGGCATAAGTTTGTTAAGTGACTGCGTTATGCGGCTGGTGCGCGTTGACGAGCGTAAATATCAACAGGGGAAAGCCGTGGAGCCTCCTACAGAAGCGCTAAAAAATAGCAGTAGTGACAGTAAAGCCGACATTGCTGCCACATCAAACGTATCTCCTGAAGAAGACGATGCCTATCGTGATCGACCAGAAACCACATTGGAAAATAATTTCTACGTGGATGTGCTGCTACGTCGACGTTCGCTATACATAATGAGGTGAGTATGTGGGCTTATAAGTAAAAAATGATGGAATTGATTTATGTAAGTGAAGAGCATTTTGATATTCGTTTTCTGATTTTTCTCTCCCACAGTAATTCCTCACGCTACAATTTCACGCATGAAATACTCGCCAACGGTGTATCACACTTTCAAGGGCAGCATATCAAAAAGGATAGACGCATATCGATTATTTGTCGAAATGATCCATGAAAGTGAGATGCTGTTGCGTGTCTATGTAACTACTTCGGGAGAAGTGGTAAAGCACTCGCTGTTTGAAGCAAGGCCCTGCACTATAACTTTATTTATTTAGTTGGATTTTAGAGAGAATATAGAGCTTTATATTATTGTTAATGAATATAATTGCATATTTTAAGTAATTTAACATCGTTTTGTCAATTAATAAAATATATTGAATTAAATTTAAAAAAAATATTGTTAATGAATATAATTGCATATTTTAAGTAATTTAACATCGTTTTGTCAATTAATAAAATATTATGAATTAAATTTAAAAAAAATTAAGTTAAATATGCTGTCGTATTCTGCAACTACGTTTAGTTATAGACGAAAACATTTTGGTTTCCCCATTAGGCTTACATCACACAATCCATATGTTTAAAAGCGTTTTCTCGAATTCATCTTTTTGTTGTTGTTGTTGTAGCGGCTACTAAGCCCCGCTCGGGTCGATTCATCCGTCAACGTTGTCGTCTGTTTCAGCTAAGGGGAGGCCCATGAAGTGCGCGACTCAGACAGGGTCTGTCCAAAAGGACAGGGGCGTCAGCTGGGTGGGGTTCTCGGGCATGTGAAGAGGTGCTGAGAGTCATGTGGCGACTCTTCGCATGCCGGGCCTTGGTTAAGCACATCCTCATTAATTCTGCTCAGGTATGAGTTTAGCCTGCTGCTTTTTCGACTTAGGCGGTTATTGTTATGAGAAATTCAACTTTGAAAAATTGTCCACATGCAAAGGGAAAACTACAATTGGTATTTCTGTTAAATTTTTATTAATAATTCGCTCTTTATATTTTTCACCACTAATTTTCGCACTGAAAACTAAATAAATATGCAGTTTTTATTATTTATTTTTGTAATATTTTTTAGGTTACACTTGCACTCTGCCGTATTAAATTTTTAACTAATTCTATATGTATGCATGTACTTTCTCTTTATCTAGTGCACGCATTAGCAGTTTTTAGATACACCTGTATTTTTTTTGTTTTCAAAATGCTTTTTACAAATTTCAACTGCCTTTTGTAACATTTCTTGTTTATTGGCTGATTAGTTGTTATTTTTTATAATGGTTTATCCTCAAATGTACGTAACTTAGTCAGTGGTTGTTTTTGTGTTCGCTTAATGGCCGAACATATTTAACAAATTTGTATTTTTTGTTGTATATTTTGCAAAGTTTGCTGTTGCAATATTGAACTTTTGCCAATTTGTTCATAGGTTTTTACACCTCTCAAGTACGACTGACTTTGACATGCAATTGGACTACAGTGGGCCCTCGATAACTCGCTACTAAAATTAGCCAATACGTTTTAAATACATAAGCATATAATTTTAAGCACTAAAAATTAAAACTGGAGTTATCGCGTGCCGACTGTGGTTTGGCTGTATTTTTCATTATATTTCATCAATTCATAGTAATTGGCAACATGTAAAATTGTTGTTGTTGCGTCTTAAATGCATTTTAAAAATACTTATCAGTGTATTTGATTATATTTGGGATTCAATTCTTTGTATTGTTGTTGTCAATTTATTGTTTTTGCATGTTTTACTTTTGTAACAGCTATGGCAATATACTATACTATTTTTTTTTGGTAACTTTTGCAACGCAATTCTTAAAAGTTTTTTATGCTAAGTCTGCAACGTACTTTAATTGTTAATTTTTGGGCTATTTTTTATTCAGTTTCTTTTTTGCAAATTTTGCATGCAAGTTTCACTTATCGAATTATTGCTGCTGCAAATGGTTCCGTATTTTTCGTAGCTTCAGGAGCAATTTAGCAATTTTTTATACAAATATTTTCAAACTAAATTTCAAATTATTACTTGTTTTCTCAAGTATGTGTATACATATATAAGTATGTATGAATATGTTTCTAATAATTTTATCTTTCTAAATTTTAAATCTATTGCTTCTAAAACAGTTAGCTTTGGTTTTAATACATATCTATGCAGCTTGTTTAAATATGGCTTAAAACGCTTTTAAATTCCAATTTTCTTGCTACTATTTTTTACTTTTTCACTTATTAAAATTACAACTTAATAAAAAGAACTAATCCGGAAATTTAATTCATTTATAAAGAATTTTTCAAAATTGTTTACTATTACTATTAAAAATTTAAATTTTTACTAATTTATGTACATAAGTATTTAATTTAAATTAAAGCCAAATTTATTCAAAACGTCAATTGCTTGATATAAATAATTTCAATAAAATCAAAAAAAACTTACATTTAAAAAATTATTATTTTTTTAAGTTGAATGTTTTGATTAAAAAATTAGAATTTTTACTACCACCTCTTTATTTAGGATTACAAAAAGGTGCTTTTTAATATGAAAAAAAATTCAGTAAAACTAAAAAAAAAAATGTTTAAAAAATTTAAATTTTTGTATACAAAAATAAAATAAAAATTAACAAAAATAAAAAAAAATCACATTGGCATACAAATATATAGGGGAGATATTTTTTTTCCTCATCCTCGTATCCCATGAGCAGAAAGCGCTTGCTGGTAAGGTAAGGTGCGGCAAGCAGTTATCGGTAGTGTTCAAAGAAAATACTTTCAAGCCGCTGAAAATTAAACAAGGTGTTCCACTGCTTTCACTTTAAATTCCCCCAGTTGCCACAGGGAGCCTCAATAGTCTCAAACGCTGATGACGCTGATGACTGGCAACGGGAAAAAAACTTGGGAAGCACTGAGAATTTATTTACGGTTATCTACCCCAACTCCACTTATTCGTCAGAGCACGTAACTTGTTCACAACATGATAAAAGAAAGATCCTCAGGCGAAGGTAAAATAATTTAAACAGCTCACTAGCCCTTACCGTCTATGTATTACCGCCGAAGTAATCGGGGTGCAAAGGAAACGCTAATAATCCGGGCTCAACTTCTTCCAGGCTGCAGTATTAGACTAAACTCCTACGGTAACGATCCACACAAAACCAAGTACCACTTCACATAGCCCACCCACGCACCCAATCCATCTGATACTTGAGATGCTCTGAACCCAACCGAGGGAGGCCGCATGGTTCTTAGTACTCGTGCTGAAGGAAACAGTCGGGAAGAACTTTCTAAAGGTAGTTTGTGGTATGAATGCTCCTAAAGCAAAAAAAGAACTACAACCATTCACCTAGGAACTTTCATATAAACTTGAAAGGCACGCGTCTCCCATCACAATTGACCAAATTGTACCCTCGTTTGAGACAAGGATCTCCCTAGACCTGTTTGTCTGCTCAATAAATGCTGAAGGAGTTTTAAGCCAAGGTCGGAAAAACAGTAAAGTAAACACGACTCATACGAATTAGAGTCGACTTAACACTGCCTGGGTCACTGACAACTCCACTTCTACACAGTGATGTGATTGTTATTTAAAGCGGCAAACCTGAGATAAGGTAAAAGTTTGATAAGTAAGTACGAATAAGCGCTTTAGGATTGTGTTCCCTTCATGGTTTCTCGGAATATCTGAAGATCTATCTTATTGCTGCTATCCTGAGTAGTTCTCTGGAAATGATCAAAAGATTTTTACCTCTGCAGGATTTCTGGGAAACTCTTGTGTTCTTTCAAAATGCTGCGGAAGTTGGACATGAAAAGTATAAAATGACGTGACAGTCGCCGAAAAGGCCGCAAAAACCATACTGATCAAGCCATTAGTATCGTCAGACGAGGCAGTAGTAGTAGTGATGGAGTATTGGATGAAGTTTTGGGAAGACCTCTATAGTTAGAATACATCCAAAAAGTAGCAAGGGACCAAGATCTTGGGACGTTAATAGACCCATAGAATAAAAGAAATTCAGCAAAACTTCAGAAATAATAAAACGTAGTGAATGTTCGAAAAATGTTCAAAAGATACCCGAGGAAAGGAAATATAAGAAAAGAAAAAAAGTAAAACTGCAGCGCTTCAGTTTAAACCAAAATATAATCAACAAAGTAGTAGGGATTTCGACAGTTCTCTCCTTTGAACACCGACTATAATGCCAAATGTACAATAAAATATATCAAATTGTATTGGAAAATTTTTTATGTAGTTATGCTTTTTGACACCATAGTTTGAGTTAGCTATAAAGAGAGCCCATTTTGGTTGTCACTTCCGACTTGTTTAATATGCCTTTGTTCAGTCAAACAATTGGAAAGTATGCTACTGGCCTTAGAGATATTAAAAATTTAAGGGGTGTGTATACAATGGCATTAATTGTTTCAACATTTCGCGATTTACTGAATTTAGCTTAACTTACATTTAAAATATTGCATTAGAAATAAACACAAAAGAAAAAAAACAAATCTCAAACAATTAAATATTTCATTGGTGTTTATAACGCTACAAATTAAAAGCAACTGTTTTTTATTCAAGCTGCGNTCAGTTTAAACCAAAATATAATCAACAAAGTAGTAGGGATTTCGACAGTTCTCTCCTTTGAACACCGACTATAATGCCAAATGTACAACAAAATATTTCAAATTGTATTGGAAAATTTTTATTTAGTTATGCTTTTTGAAACTGTAGTTTGAGTTAGCTATAAAGAGAGCCAATTTTGGTTGTCACTTCCGACTTGTTTAATATGCCTTTGTTCAGGCAAACAATTGGAAAGTATGCTACTAGCCTTAGAGATATTAAAAATTTAAGGGGAGTGTATACACAAAAGAAAAAAAAACAAACCTCAAACAGTTAAAAATTTCATTCGTGTTTATAACGCTACAAATTAAAAGCAACTGTTTTTTATTCAAGCTGCGTATAAGTATTTAAAATTAACCAAAGCTAGGTTATTTTTTTATTGTTTTACCGCTTCTTAGTGTTACATAAATATTATTCCTTAATTTTTGAAACTTGACACGTTTTTATATATGCATTTTCTTAACCCTTTCATTCCATACATGGGAGTATGCATATATTATAGTCAAATTTGAACTGTTCCTAATTTTTTTGCAATAAATTTAAGTATTCTGATTTCTTATAGAGCGTTACATACGAATAGAATTATATAATTTAACTGCTATTTATTTTGCTAATTGGTTTTTATTTCTCTTTTTCTTTCAGTGTACCAAATTTCAGATCAAAGTAGATGAATGTGGGAGCGAGAAAAAGTCACTTAAGGTAATTGTTTGTTGAGTTTGAAAGTGTTTAGTTCTTTTTTCACAGTGTATANCATTTAAAATTAATCGAAGCTAAATTATGTTTTTGTTCTTTTACCGCCTCTTAGTGTTAGATAAATATTATTCCTTAATTTTTTAAACTTGACACGTTTTTATATATGCATTTTCTTAACCCTTTCATTCCATACATGAGAGTATGCATATATTATAGTCAAATTTGAACTGTTCCTAAGTTTTTTGCAATAAATTTAAGTATTCTTATTCTTATAGAGCGTTACATACGAATACAATTATATCATTTAACTGCTATTTATTTTGCTAATTGGTTTTTTAATTTCTCTTTTTCTTTCAGTGTACCAAATTTCAGATCAAAGTAGATGAATGTGGGGGCGAGAAAAAGTCACTTAAGGTAATTGTTTGTTGAGTTTGAAAGTGTTTAGTTCTTTTTTCACAGTGTATATACGTGCAGTATAATAGAGTAATTTTCGATTTTGTTTTGAGTAGAAAGGCACAGAAGAAAGTATGTTTCTCTCATAGTTAATTGTTTTTTTTTTTTGTTTGTTTTGGCTTTTAGTTTTAATAATAATAGAGACAGCTCTACGATCAACGCGAGTGTTCACAGCATAAAAGTGTAGGTGTTGAAAAAGACAGAAATGGAAAGAGTGTGCGGATGAGAGTGAGTAATTTAAGTAAGAAATGAGGCTATCTGTCATGAGTAGAGAAATAGATGAGGGTGAGCGAGTTAAATGCAGTTTCGATAGCAAGTAAAAAATTTTGTAAAAATCTGAGTGATGCATAAGAATCAACAATTTTAGTTCTGACTCATACATTGAACAGATATTGACTAATGCAAAATATTCAGGAGTATCTCATTTCTGTAACGATTTGTTTATGAATCTTTAAAGAAAATTATATTGAGTGATTGACACGAAGTCGTAAAGAAATTTCTGTACGAATTCTGCAAGAAATTATTCACAAAGCAGCAATATTTTCAATGTTTTACAGATTTTCTTCCAAAATTTCGTAAAAGAATCGAAGTGTGCACAATTTATTTCATTTTAGTAAATTCGGCAAAAAATCGGATGAGATCCTTACGAATTCTTAAAAATTTCTCTACAATTCAGAATTCTTTAAAAAAAAGGTCTGCAGGGGAACCTTAAAGTGTGTGCCCGAAAAGAAATGAGTAAGCTAAAAAATGCACACAACAAACTCAAATGAGCAATTGAGCGTCGAGTGAAAAAATAAGTCGATCTTCAATGAATAGACTTTAAATGCCATATATATTTCGAAAAGGCTGTCAAATTGAGAAATTTCAGAAAGCAGTTGGATGAGCAGTCACACCTCGCATGTAAAGTGTCTTTCGAAAGAGGTTTTTTTTTTTTATTTTTATTTTCGAAAGGCGAATTGCAGATTGCTAGCGCAGNCGTGATGCATAAGAATCAACAATTTTAGTTCTGACTCATGCATTGAAAAGATATTGACTAATGCAAAATATTTAGGAGTATCTCATTTCTGTAACGATTTGTTTATGAATCATTAAAGAAAATTATATTGATTGATTGACACGAAGTCGTAAAGAAATTTCTGTACGAATTCTGCAAGAAATTATTCACAAAGCAGCAATATTTTCAATGTTTTACAGATTTTCTTCCAAAATTTCGTAAAAGAATCGAAGTGTGCACAATTTATTTCATTTTAGTAAATTCGGCAAAAAATCGGATGAGATGCTTACGAATTCTTAAAAATTTCTCTACAATTCAGAATTCTTTAAAAAAAAGGTCTGCAGGGGAACCTTAAAGTGTGTGCCCGAAAAGAAATGAGTAAGTTAAAAAATGCACACAACAAACTCAAATGAGCAATTGAGCGTCGAGTGAAAAAATAAGTCGATCTTCAATGAATAGACTTTAAATGCCATATATATTTCGAAAAGGCTGTCAAATTGAGAAATTTCAGAAAGCAGTTGGATGAGCAGTCACACCTCGCATGTAAAGTGTCTTTCGAAAGAGGTTTTTTTTTTTTATTTTTATTTTCGAAAGGCGAATTGCAGATTGCTAGCGCAGCACGCGCAATTTGACATATATTTCCGAAATCGATTTGCGCTCTATCAATTGCAGTCACATCTTGCAACTTTTATTTCTGAAATTAATTTACCGAAATGTGATAGAATCGTCTTTCTAGTTGCTGACAGGCTAACCTAATATTCGCGGCTTGCGTTTTGGTACGCACGCCGTAGAATTTTTTGTTTTGCGTCACCCGAAAATGGCTTGCGTGCGTTTGCATTTGATTTCATTGAGCGAAATGTCAAATCAAAATGTCACGCAGAACAAAAATTGGAAATTGAGTTAGCTTCATACGCGCGCCGTTCAATTTCGGTTGGTCGCATACAAGTTGTATGTGCATGAGAAATTTTTGACAGTAAATTGGCGGCGTGCGTGAATATTAGGTTAGTCTGTGACACATCGAAATAAAATTTCTCTTCGCAATTCGACAGCGAATTGCGTGGAAAAGTTGAAAATATTGCCACGTCTGACACGCCCTTAAAAATGATTGTATGTGTGTGTGAAATTGTTGCTTTTTTTGCTTTTTCGACTGCCTGTTAAATTTAACTTCTCGTTAAACACATGTTCGACCAGGCAGTCGATAGGTTTAAATGAAAGTTAAATTTAACAGGCAGTCGTAGTAGCTTTTAACTTTATTTGACCTTTTAGCTTAGTATATAGGTCTCCAGAAAGAAAGGCGAAATTCATATAAAATGATGTTCGAGGAATGGAATAGGAATTTTCTTCTTTAAAAATTTTCATAAATAAGTTTACACCTCTCAAGAAAAAAATGCTACTTTTCAAGCAACAGAAATAATATGAGAGCTGCATACTAAGCTTTAGGGCTCTATTCCGCATCAGTGACAAATTCTTGTCACAGTTTTTATTACGGAAAAATATATGAAAAAGTTTAAATTTGTCAGTAAAAAAAATTTTGTCACCGATACAGAATTGGGCTATTAAACACAAACTTTGTTCCCAAAACATGTGTTCAAAGAGCAGATTAATTTTGAAAGCTACTTGGCAAAACGTGCCTTAGACTTTTTCATATCACTTTCCGTGTATCTTTATACATGTGTGTGTGTTTGTTTTAGTGCGTTGAGAGAAAATCACAAAATCGTGAAATTGACAGTTGTGTTTTGGCATTTGTATTAAACAGATGTTTGTTTTCTAAGCTTACTTCTAAGTTATGTATGAATGTATGTATGTATAGTATTTTATCTAAAATTTGAAACATTTGTATGATTTCGGAAAATTTGTTTTATTTCTAATGAGTTTACAAATTCTAATTCGTTGAATAGCACGCTATAACTATATAGAATTCAGTTGTATATATAATTTCCTTTACTTCCTCTTTCTAAACATCCACAATACATATTTTATTATTGATTATATAAAGTTAGGGTTTTTTAATTTACAAATTTTCTTGTAAAAAGTTTTTATTCAGCTGTTTTTTATTAGATTTTTTTTTAGTGTGTTAAACACATACTCATACTATGCTAAATGTTTTAAAAATTTTTCAGAAAAAGGCAATAGTAAGTTGTATATAGGTTCTATACATACATTCATTTAATATATGCAGACAATTCGCTAGATTTTTATATCCCTCCCACCTAAACACTAATTCATTTTATGTGTAGTCAATTTGTATAGCCACTGGTAATGAATAGCTAAGTACATTAACAAGAAACTTTTAGTTATAACTATATATTTAAATATCTTAACTACTTAAGCTAACTTAATTATGTAGTACCGGGGTTAGGTCGGTATGGCAAGAAACGATGAGAAGAAAGAACAGTACAAGTCCACCTGTACTGACTTGGACTTCTACTAGCTTCTTTTTTCTCATTGATTCTGGTGAAGTAATGAAATATATATGTATGTTTGTATCTACAGAGCTAACTTATGCTTATATTAAAAATATCAATTATATTACAATGTTGTAGTTTGATTAGTTATAAACTAAACATTCTTTAGTTTTTTTTCGCTCATAATAACGAGTATTTTTTCTTTCCTTCCAGATTTACTTCTGTATTTCGAATCGTAGGCTATCTACAAAATACGCAGTCACAAGGCTGTCTCTTATAACCAAAATCGTAAATCGGGTGTGTTGAAACAGCAACAAAACCGTAATGCAGGAAAAATTATTTAAATAAAAATAAAAGAAATAAAAAGAAATATTTGCGCCGAACATCAACAGAGATCAAGAAAGGTAAGTAGGCTATTGTTTACATCCGGCACTAACTGCACGTTGAACAGTGTTTGCGATTACATAACATATAATAGGGAGTCGTTAACGATGTTTAATGTAGGGTTAGTGTTAACCAGACATTGTGTAACTGGCCATAAGCCTCCTCAATCTTATGTATGATTTTAGTACTGGTTTGCTAAAAATATAGATCATTTGAGTAATAAATGATAATGAAGAGTACCACGCCTCCTTCAATAACCTTCAATGGCCTTAACTTCGGGTGTGAGAATCAATTGATTACGAAACGCTTACAGTAAACTGAGACGCGGTTGTCTCAAACAATACTTATTTTTATTAATTATCAGTCTTAAGCTCGGCAAGATACTTCGATTTTCAGACCGCTTGTATTCTTTCATAGAGTAACGGTCAAAATTGAGTCACATAATTTACCACAATTCCCTTCTCTGGATCCAAGTATATTTGCATCAATGACCTGGAAGAAGGCAGTCACTGAAACATATGCCAAAGTAGTAAAGTAGAAGAAAGAGTCGACCAGATCTTCAATAACTGGGCAACATCTAGATAAAAACCCAACGACAATAAGTGTCATGGTTTGCTAAACTTGAGATTGGAATGATCGGAATTTCCCCTTCGTAACCTTTTGTGGAGACTGATTAGGCAGGGTACCCTCGCGGTTATGCATTTAATGAAGTAGCTTTTTGAGGGCTGAACTTGAACTGATGCCTTATGTCTGCTTAGCCTATGTTACGAGGCAACTGAGACACTTATGTAATTTTAGGCTGCTAGATTTTAACAGCAAACGACTCTGGAAGTTAGGATTATCGACTAATCCGATTCGCTCAGATGCAATAAACCCTCTTTGTAGGAGGAACTGTCTAAACGAGTAAGCTTGATTTGATGTCTTTGAATTGCGATATTTTGTGGACTAACTTAGACTCATTAACCTGCTGCAAATTCAGTAAATGCTAGTAGAAATCCCATACTTTTGCCTTGCAAGGCCTTTCTGGTATGGATTAGACCAGATGGCTCAAAAAGCTCCTTAGCATTATTAATAATCCTTTTCCTACGCCAATGACAAACGCATCGCATGAATATTGTCTTAACTTTTATTCCTAAAACTTTTCCGCGAAATATAAACGCAGTTTCAACGTTGCCGCGTAAGGCATAACAATTACATTGACAATTTTAATAATTGGAAACGGGTTTGTAAGTTTTTGTAGCATAGTTTTTGGCGTAGCCATGCGTAATTTACGTAGCAATAGGAGTGTAAAATCTGTAATCCTTATCCTTACTAATATTATAAGTCCGAAAGTGAGTTTGTTTATTTGTCACGATTTCACGCTTCAACTAGTCAACCAATCATTATGAAATTTTGTACACTGGTGTCATTTAGCCCAACTTAAAATAAAGGATCGATTTGATCTCGATTGCACAAGGGGGCGTGGCACCTGCCATACAATCGGAATTTTTCATGCTACATATCGCAGGAAATATTTGTGATAGAGGCATGGAACTTGGTATGGAGATATATAGAATCAATTCCGCACTCATGGGGGAGGGCTGCCACCTGTTTAAAAAAGAAATTTCAACTTGAATTAAGGAAATTATTTATTTGAAAATTATATTAAAAAAGGGATGTCAAGAGGCCAAGAAAAGTTGGTAGTTTGAAAATATTTTGAAAAGGGTTGCCACCCGTTTAAAAAGTCAAATTTAAATTCTTTATTCGCAAGCTATCTGAAAAATTAAAATATGGTTGTCAAACGAAAGATTGCTAAGAAACCTTCAGATTGAATATTTAGAATATTATTGAGGTGTTTTACTAGGGTTACCACCCAAATAAAAATTAAATTCAATTAATTTAAATGAATTACTGCAATATGGGTGTCAATCGAAATGTTTTTGAAAAGGGTTTAAGTTCTAAACTACATGAAGAACGGTTGCCACCTTTTTGAAAAATCAAATTCTAATTGAAGTTAGGGATGTCAGACCAAAGGGGTTTAATGAGAGAATTTAAATTAATTATACTCAAATTAAAGTGTCAGACGTAAGAGTGTTTAGAAATGTTCAGCTTGAACATGTAGAATCTTCTGAGGTATTTAAATAGGGTTACCACTTATTTTAAAACTATATTCAAATACAATTATATTGTAAGTTAAATTAGTTCTTATAATATAGCTATTAATCGAATGTCTTGGAAAGGCTTTATTTCTAAGCTACATATGCATAGCAGGGTTTCCACAGATTTGAATTCAGGGTATATAATATGTGAAAAAGTATCACAATAGAGAGGCTTAAGAAAGTTTCAGTTTCAAAATAATACAAAATAAATAAATATATGTTTACGAGGTTTCAGCTGGTTTTTTGGTCGAGTTGAGTTTAAGCGCATTCAGTTGTATGTACATAAATAAATGAAAAAATGAAAGCCTTGATTTCTAATAAGAGTGCTAAAAAATTAAGCGAAAGCGGATTAACTTCATTGAAAAACTAACATAAATCAAATAAAAAACTTGAAGGGATTGTCATTGGTCAAAATAATAATTTTATTTGGTAAAAGTAAATAACTAAAATTTTTAACATATATTTTACATGCCAGTCAAATTTTTGGGCATACATTTAATTGTTTTAAAATGTTTTTTTTTTCAATTAAATTTAGTTAAAAATTTTTGCTTTTTGCTTCAAAAATTCATTCATGTTATGCGTATTATCTTTTTTTACGATATTAATGGAACTTATGCTTAAATTATACACTATTACGCTGGTTCCAAACAAATTATTTTAGTTGCAACTCTGTTTTTCTGTTTTTTTTTTGCACACGCACTAGATTTTTACAATTTATAATTTCACTGTTGCATAGAGATGAGGAAGACGTTTTAGGGAGAAGATATGCGCTACCACTTTTTACGCATTTTACAAATTTATTTTATATGTGTACCTTTTTAGTAAGTTTTTTTTTGTTGACCAAGGAAAGTCTTACAGTTGTCACTTGTTGTGTTAAATTTTTTTATCATTATCATTATATATAACTCTTAATAGTGTCATAGTCGCTTATGTTCTTTAATCGTTTATCGTTTAACACTTATCGCTAATATTTCGTACACACTTACATAACATTTTTTTGTATGCCTTTTTTTTGACAACTTTACTACTAGATATATTTAACCACTATTTTATTTAAGCTAGACACAAACCAATTTGAAAATGACGTTATCATACTTTGCTTTTTATTACAGTTTTTGTTACACAACTGTTGATGGTTTTTTGCTATTAACAATTTTCAATGCTACTGTTTTTTTATACTAGCTAAACTAGAATTTATATACAATTTGATTATATATATATTTTTTTCGCACAATCTGCGCGCTCAGTTGCGGTTAGGAAGATTTTGCGCTTAAATTTTATAGATTTGCTTATTTTATTTACTATCGGCAATACATTTAAACGTTTTCTTCTTTGTTTTTTTTTTCAACTTGTTATGTTTACTTAAAACTCGCTTATTACAGTAATTATGCTATGTATAACTGTAATAAAATATAATCATTTCGTAACTACGACTTCAAATACAAAGTTACTTAACTTCCTTGACCTATGACTTTAAATCAGTTTATTTATTTTACAGCTAATCACAGAGTTGATGATTTTTATAGACAAACTTTTTAACAGTGTTGCATTTTCAGAGATGCAATTTCACATTCGCTATATAAAAGTTTTTGTTTGAAAATTTAATACAAATATATGTAACTGCACTACCTAACAATGCATACGCAGTTTGAACATTTCTTTTAATACTATTGTGTGATTTTTCTTTTGATTGTGTGAAATGTATGTTTTTTATAGAAGAATTTTTTATTGAAATGAATGCATGTACATACATACATACATATGTCTGTATGGAGTTCAATTGGTTTTGTGGTTGAAAATTCATTTGGTTTGTTGGATAGTTTGAAAAATTCCCTAATAGTTTTGCCACATGCCTATGAACATACATATCTACAGAGTTGTATTTATTAGTGTATGGGTAAAAAATCAAGCTTTACGGCGGAATACAAAAGCCGTCTTGTGGCCTTAGTTGGCCTTCGTTGAAGTTACAAGTACATATAGACAAACCAAAGAATGGGTAAACTCAGAGCTGCAAACAGCGAAGCTTGTGTAGAGAGCTCAGGCAGGCAAAAGTTTCTCGCCGAAAAAGGCTAGACGATCGATCGCACCGCTCGGGTGCTCAAATCAAAATCTCTCATTCAAATCCATGATACTAGGCACGGATAGAACAAAAAAAATTGAAGGTTTTTAGTAAGATTCTACATGAAAGAGATTTCGGAAAAATTGGGCGCAAGCAGAGATACATCAGCCATACAAACTCTAAGTGACTTCTGAGATGATGAAGTAAAAACAACCACTAAAAAGACTTTGAATTTTCTATCTCACGCTTTTAGTTTATCTAACTTACTTACTCTATCGGCTCTAGACATACATATTTTCTATAATTCCATTTACATATACATACATACGCTACACTTAATTTAATATAGTTACATAGTATGTTGTATGCTACTTCGTAACTTATAGTTAGTGTTTAATTCCTTTCAGCCATCGGTGGAGGAGTGCGGTGATTTCACCAACAACAACTCTTTGTAGTCCGAGTCCTCGTTACCGCTATTGTCCCGCTGATCCATGCGTCTGCGCTCCGATATGATACGCATTATATCGGCCGAATCAGATTTGCTTAGCGCAATCTGTTCTACGACCATAGCGGCAGCGGCGCCATTAACATTGCCATTATTGGCACCGTTAGTGCTGTTATTGTTCAGCTGATCGTTATTGCTGTGCACATTGCCGTTGCCATTGTTAGCAGTTGTGGTGCCACTGCTGGCTGCAGTGCCATCACAATTGTTCTCGACAACAACCGGCAAGAGCAGCGTATTCTCGTCCATATCTGGATCTTCGTCTAGCGCTTGCTGTTTGAAGAGCTGCTTGGTGCTGCCACTTCGACTGCGTGGCGGCATGCCACGCGGTACGGATAGTAATCCACCACTGTTACCGCGTCCACTACCTAATACACCACTGCTGCTAGAGGCTTGGTCGGTTGAGAATGAGCGTCCGTAAGTGCGACGTGGTGCCGATCCGGCTGTTAAGGCATTGCCGATTGGTAGTGCAGCCGTTGCTGCGGTTGTTGCTAGTGGTGCACTAATCGGCGCTGTGATCTTTTCACTGATCACGCTCGCGCTCACAATACTGAGCGCATCGGAAGCGCCACTACTGCGCGCTGTTGCATTTGCTGTTGCTGCGACGTCTTCGCTGCGTATGCTGCGTATATCATATGTGGACGAGGGACTACCGGCGCCATCCGACTCTAAACTTTCGAAAATAGTGCCACGCCGAAAATCGTTGCTATCACCACCCCAGGGTAGCGAGTCACAGCTCATTCGTTTCGATTCGAGCGTGCGTCGGCGTATGGCCTGCTCATCGAGTGAGCGTTCTTTGGCGAGTAGGCCGCGTTTATTACGGAATGCGGTCGAGCTGCGACGGCCGCGCCGTCCCAGCGGACCCGCAGTCGATTGGAGTTGGAGTTTTGTATCAAAGCTATTCTCCGCAGCTGATGCACTCAGTCGCGCGTTGAGCGCTTGTGATGCGAATAGCGCACCGCTTGCGCCAACACCACCGCCACCACCAGACCCACCATTGCTGCCAACAGCAGCACCTGCACCGGCGCCAGCCTGTGTGCCATGTCCCAGTTCGGCCAAACCAATGCCATTCGGTTGATTAAAGTATTGCACGGTCTGGCGGCGGCCACCAATGCCAGCGGCACTCAGGCCACCGATGCCGCTCAACACGCTTGGGAATTTCTTGTCCAGCGACGGCGTGCTGTAGGTGAAGTTCTTCGGCAATGATTTGATTTTGTTTAGCTGGCGCGCTGGTGGCGGCGGTTGCGACTGCTGTTCCAACTGCTGACACAGCTTTTGCTCGCTCTCAAACTCCTGCTCGCGTACAAGTTCGCGCTCTAGCTCTACTTCCATGTCCATTTCGTCTTCCATCTGTTTGTGACTCTCCTCGAGGTGTTTCATCAGTACAGCCACGACGACATTCACCAGTACGAACTGCGCCATCAGAACGAATATCACAAAGAATATTGGAGCGATGATTTTGCTAACGCAACAATCGCGCACACAATCATCCGCATCGTCACACTCATCTCGCAGCGTATCCTTCATGATGCCGTTCCAGTTGTCGCCAGTCGCTACGCGAAACAATGTGAGGAAAGCCATGCCGAAATTGGCGAAATGTGCATGTTCGCCTAAGCCCTGGCATGGATTTCTTTCGGAACATTCCAGCCTACCGAACAGCTCCACGCCCAGGGCGGCGAATATAAAGAAGAGCAAAAAGAAGAGCAGGCCCAAATTGCCGACCTGCGGCAAAGCCTGCATCACGGTGTCGAGCAGCGCACGTATCCCTTTGGCCATTTTGAGCAGTTTTAGAACTCGCGCAATACGCAGCACACGCATCACACGCATTATAGTCGGATTGATTAGAAATCGTCTCGTTCCCCAATCCTCCAGCACAATGCCGATGACCGATAGTAGCACAATGCCCACGTCAAGTTGATTCCAACTGTCTTTCAGGTAAAGTTGCCAGCCAAGCGCCAATACTTTCATGCTAGCTTCCAATATAAACACAGCCGTGAAGAAGTAGTTAAATACCTTGAGCGTATATACCAACGCCTCATCCATGCCATAATATTCCATAGCCATGGTGACAACATTCAGTCCGATCACAGCGGCAATAGCCAAATCAAAATACTTCGATGTGACCACATTGTGCACGAACATACGCGATGGTGAGTAGTTTATGTAGTAGGGTGGCTCGTGCATGCGCCTACGTTTCTTTTCCATCTGCAGCGCACGTTTGGCGGCACGACGAATCTTCTCCTCCTTCTCCTGCTCCTCGCGGCAACGATGGAAATTTTCAACGACCACACCGACAAACATGTTGAGCACAAAGAAACCAACCAGCAATATGAAGGCGATGAAATACAGCAAACGCCACTCATTGTAATTGACAACCGGTTGTTGATCCACGCCCACTGCATCTAACCCCGTATACATGATGTTCACCCAGCCGTCGCGAGAACTCAATACGAACAACGACATCAACGCCTTGCCAAGATCATCGAAATTATATTTGCGATTCTTCCATTCATAGCCGCGTTCGAGACACTGCAACTTTGTTTTCACCTCCTTGAGATTCTCTCCTTCGCAATAGAAGAAGGTGCCCTTGAAAAGTTGCACGCCTAAGATGCCGAATATGATGAAGAAGGTGCAGCAGATCAGCACGATGTTGCCGATGGGACGTAGGGACGATAAGAGCGTTTGCACGACTAATTTCAGACCCGGGGCGCGGTTGATCACACGCAACGGCCGTAGGGAACGAAGTAGTCGAAACACCTGCAATGAGACAATGGGCAAAGTGATGGAGAAGACATTGGTTGGTGGGCGTGGGTTTTTGGGAGGCAAAACAGCGGTAATGAGAGGAAGTCATTCGGGAATTGAAGTAGGGTTGTGTGAGAATTAATTAAGAGAATATTTAATGGAACGGAGGTGAAAAAGGTTGGAATTAACAAAAAATAAGAGGAGAGTTAATGTGAGAGAGGATCGTTAACAAAATATGAGATGACATGTGATGTGATTTATTGGGAGGAGATGGGATTAAATTGAGATTAGATGAGATGAGATTAAAGAGATGTGATGAGATGAGACAAGATGAAATGATTGTAGAGGGCAAATACCATTAAAGTGAGGCAGGGATCAGAATAAAAGTAAAATAAAAATTAAAAAAAGGGAAAATAAAGGCAGAAGAAAAGAAGACGAAAAAAATAAGGGTACACGTAATTCAGAAAGTGAGGTTAGAAATAAGATAACGTTGCCAGGCAAATAAATACAGAACAAGAAGCGGGAAACGGGAATCATTTGGGAACAAGGAAATTATTATTTAACCAATTGTTCGCATATCCATGAAAAATGTGAGAAAAATTACAAAAGGAAAATTAGTAACGATTTTCAAGTATTCTTTTATATAAAATTAAATATATGCAACAATCTATCAAGCACAGGGCAGAAAATATGCGAGAAATGGGTCAAGTTCTTTCACAACGATAATAACTTTTTTCACAACTATATTTTATAACTTATTTTCAAACTTTTTCCCCAATATACTAGAAATACAAATACATATACAATATGAAATCAGCAGATACAAAGAACGTTCCTCAGCAAGGACATGTACATACATACATACAAGAAAATGTTTATTTCATATGCGGTCAAAAATTGGGGTAGGAATTTTTCGTTAAAAAAAGTGCTGTACTTTAATAGAATTCAAAACTAAGCGGGAATGTTTTTACTTTGGTGTGGGGAGGTATGGAAATTTTAACTTTAGCTGACAATGAGTTGATAAAGTATGAAATACGAACGTTTTAAAAAGTTAACACAGAAACGTGCAGAAACATAAAGAGAAAATTCAAAAAAGCCATTAGCTACCTGACATTTTTAAAGTATATGTATGTATATTTTCTTAACTTTAAATTCGAAAAATAAGTTGAGTTAAGTTTATTTTAAATCAAACAATGCTAGAAATATAGTGTTAAATACATGTTTAACCCCTTAACGATCAAGGCGAAAAGAGATGCCAAACAGACTAAAATATTTATAAATAAAAAATTTGCTAACCAAAACCGGAATTTAATTTCTTTGTCTAGTTATTGCAGTTCTCATCTTGCTTATGAAACTAATACTTGAATAGTTGCGATCTTACAGCCTACACCTTCATCTCCGTCTTATAGCAATGTCCAACACTGGCTACTCAACATTAACAAACGCTATAAATTATGAATGGAAATGGCTCCCTGACTAACTTTTCCGATATAGTATTATTATGTAGTCCGGATGGTCTGTGTGTGTGTTTTTTTNATAGAATTCAAAACTAAGCGGGAATGTTTTTACTTCGGTGTGGGGAGGTATGGAAATTTTAACTTTAGCTGACAATGAGTTGATAAAGTATGAAATACGAACGTTTTAAAAAGTTAACACAGAAACGTGCAGAAACATAAAGAGAAAATTCAAAAAAGCCATTAGCTACCTGACATTTTTAAAGTATATGTATGTATATTTTCTTAACTTTAAATTCGAAAAATAAGTTGAGTTAAGTTTATTTTAAATCAAACAATGCTAGAAATATAGTGTTAAATACATGTTTAAACCCTTAACGATCAAGGCGAAAAGAGATGCCAAACAGACTAAAATATTTATAAATAAAAAATTTGCTAACCAAAACCGGAATTTAATTTCTTTGTCTAGTTATTGCAGTTCTCATCTTGCTTATGAAACTAATACTTGAATAGTTGCGATCTTACAGCCTACACCTTCATCTCCGTCTTATAGCAATGTCCAACACTGGCTACTCAACATTAACAAACGCTATAAATTATGAATGGAAATGGCTCCCTGACTAACTTTTCCGATATAGTATTATTATGTAGTCCGGATGGTCTGTGTGTGTGTTTTTTTTCAAGGAGGATTAAAGTTTTGACATTTTGGCCGAAGGTGGAATTAATTTAACGATAATGTTATACATAAAATAACTTTAAATATAATTTCTGTCGTCAGATTTCTTTACTAAAATTTAGCTATAAATTTTTTGTGGATAATTTTAACCCTTTACCTCTAAAATAACGGGTATTTGAGATCTTTATTTTAAAGGGGTTCCATGTTAGACCATTAAAAGTGACAGATAGAGGCTCAAAGTGCTCTACATACATAAATGTTAGGAAGACAGTTTTACTAGGGTTATATGTGCTGCAGTTCTTTATCTTCATTCGGGTTATATTAATTTGCAAATTTCTCGTAAGAATTTTTAAACCTTTGATTAAAGATGACCGCGTTATATAGTTTAATAAAAAATTTCGTTATAAATGCATATATCATATTAAGGCTTTTTTTCTACTGAAAAATGCATAGCTTCTAACTACCACTAACTTCCTACAGTAAGGGTAAAAAATACCGATAATGGCAGGGGCTAAAGGGTTAAACAAATTGGCTGCCAATTTGTGATATAGATTTTCACCCACATTATTTTATAATATCAGAATCACGAATGGAGTTAAATACCTATAGCGAATTTAGGTTTAGTCGGATAAGTTTTTTCATTTTATGGGATAAGTGTTGCCGCTGTGCGACTAAAGGGGCAATTCGACCCTTTTTATGCGCCAATACCCTTTGGCCCGACTTTTTGATATTTTGACCCTTTTCCAAAATTATGTGCGACTTTTGCCACTTTTCAGAGATTTTTTTAGGAAATGTTAACAGAATCATGCTATTGAAAAATATTTCCTCCTAAAAGTACTAAAAAATGTATCACTTAAAACGTTTAAAATAAAGTGCAACTCTTCTCCTAGCAGNACCCTTAACGATCAAAGCGAAAAGAGATGCCAAACAGACTAAAATATTTATAAATAAAAAATTTGCTAACCAAAACCGGAATTTAATTTCTTTGTCTAGTTTTTGCAGTTCTCATCTTGCTTATGAAACTAATACTTGAATAGTTGCGATCTTACAGCCTACACCTTCATCTCCGTCTTATAGCAATGTCCAACACTGGCTACTCAACATTAACAAACGCTATAAATTATGAATGGAAATGGCTCCCTGACTAACTTTTCCGATATAGTATTATTATGTAGTCCGGATGGTCTGTGTGTGTGTTTTTTTTCAAGGAGGATTAAAGTTTTGACATTTTGGCCGAAGGTGGAATTAATTTAACGATAATGTTATACATAAAATAACTTTAAATATAATTTCTGTCGTCAGATTTCTTTACTAAAATTTAGCTATAAATTTTTTGTGGATAATTTTAACCCTTTACCTCTAAAATAACGGGTATTTGAGATCTTTATTTTAAAGGGGTTCCATGTTAGACCATTAAAAGTGACAGATAGAGGCTCAAAGTGCTCTACATACATAAATGTTAGGAAGACAGTTTTACTAGGGTTATATGTGCTGTAGTTCTTTATCTTCATTCGGGTTATATTAATTTGCAAATTTCTCGTAAGAATTTTTAAACCTTTGATTAAAGATGACCGCGTTATATAGTTTAATAAAAAATTTCGTTATAAATGCATATATCATATTAAGGCTTTTTTTCTACTGAAAAATGCATAGCTTCTAACTACCACTAACTTCCTACAGTAAGGGTAAAAAATACCGATAATGGCAGGGGCTAAAGGGTTAAACAAATTGGCTGCCAATTTGTGATATAGATTTTCACCCACATTATTTTATAATATCAGAATCACGAATGGACTTAAATACCTATAGCGAATTTAGGTTTAGTCGGATAAGTTTTTTTCATTTTATGGGATAAGTCTTGCCGCTGTGCGACTAAAGGGGCAATTCGACCCTTTTTAAGCGCCAATACACTTTGGCCCGACTTTTTGATATTTTGACCCTTTTCCAAAATTATGTGCGACTTTTGCCACTTTTCAGAGATTTTTTTAGGAAATGTTAACAGAATCATGCTATTGAAAAATATTTCCTCCTAAAAGTACTAAAAAATGTATCACTTAAAACGTTTAAAATAAAGTGCAACTCTTCTCCTAGCAGCAACTAGATTTATGTGTATGTTTGCAAAACTGTTTTATGCAACGCTTGTCCCGCTATTTCCTTTTTAGTTTCAATAGATTTACCGCCCAATTCTTAATACTCCCGGGGAGTTTGTTCTCCGGGAATTGGTTACTCCCCAGAAAGAAATCCTCCAATGGAAGGAAATTCGAACTTCAAAAAAGCTGTTTGACACTTTTTTGAGAGCTCNCTTAAATACCTATAGCGAATTTAGGTTTAGTCGGATAAGTTTTTTTCATTTTATGGGATAAGTCTTGCCGCTGTGCGACTAAAGGGGCAATTCGACCCTTTTTAAGCGCCAATACACTTTGGCCCGACTTTTTGATATTTTGACCCTTTTCCAAAATTATGTGCGACTTTTGCCACTTTTCAGAGATTTTTTTAGGAAATGTTAACAGAATCATGCTATTGAAAAATATTTCCTCCTAAAAGTACTAAAAAATGTATCACTTAAAACGTTTAAAATAAAGTGCAACTCTTCTCCTAGCAGCAACTAGATTTATGTGTATGTTTGCAAAACTGTTTTATGCAACGCTTGTCCCGCTATTTCCTTTTTAGTTTCAATAGATTTACCGCCCAATTCTTAATACTCCCGGGGAGTTTGTTCTCCGGGAATTGGTTACTCCCCAGAAAGAAATCCTCCAATGGAAGGAAATTCGAACTTCAAAAAAGCTGTTTGACACTTTTTTGAGAGCTCAACTCTGCCATTTAATATAAAAAATCCTCAGAAAATTTGTATTCATGATAGGAGGAAAGGGAAAAGAGAGAAAACTCCTAGAGAGTTTATGTTCAGAATCGACCTGTTATTCTTTTGCTAGTAAAGAAAAGCAAAACTATATGGTGACCCTTTTTTGAAGAATAATAATATCATCCACTATCTATGACCATTACAAGTGTCTGAGCTATAACACCTACAAAAGAAGGGTCTAAAAGACCCGTTATGGTAACAGTTAGTAGGTTAAAACGTTCTAAAAAAATTACTCTTTATGTTCGAAGGTCGTAAATTATATTTTACATTTCGACAAATCTAAACTATTACTATCTTCGGCAAAGTTGTGCATAGAGGTATCCTCTTTCATAACATATACATAGCGTTTATTCCTTTTGCATAAAATTTTT